AAAGCCACAAGCGGGAAGCTGGATTGAAAGCTGGGGCAGCTGGAACCCACATGGGATGCCAGCCCTGCAGGCTGAGGCTTAGCCTTATGTGCCTCCACGCCAGCCTCCAGTGACAACCTGTTTGTCCTATTCATAACCTTTAAAGACCCCTCATCCATACACGCCAACGAGGGGCTACAACGTGTTCCTACAAATGCACATTTTGTTTACATTTAAAAAGATTTACTTTTTACTGGAAAGTCAGTTATGGAGAGAGGAGGAGAGACAGAGAAGAAGATCTTCTGTCTGATGATTCACTCCCCAAGTGGCTGCAACAGCAGGAGCTGAGCTGATCCAAAGCAGGGTTGCCGGGATTAGAACGGGAGCCCATACGGGATTCTGGTGCATGCAAGGTGAGGACTTTAGCCACTAGGCTACTGTGCCAGGTCCCTCTTTTGCAGAATTACATACACACACACACACACTGCTTCCCTCCTCAAATCACTGCACCGTACTGGAGTTCTCTCTGGATTTCCGAGCGCATCCCCAAGGCACTGGAGGGAAGCCTCTGCAGAGGCCAAGGGCAGAGCACCACTGCTCTGTGCTGCAGCATCCTTGCTGTGCCTAAGGCCAACCCCACCTGGCCTCCGCCTGACTGGGGCACTGCAGCCTGGGCTTTGGGAGGTGGCCCTGGGCACCGGCCTGACCAGGGAGGAGCAGTGTGGGGGTTGATGGTGGTTCTGGCTGTGTCCCATCAGTCACCCAGAGCAGGCGAGAGCATGGCCGGACAGGAGGTGGCCGTAGTGCTATGCACGGGGTCAGTGGGCACTTTGCCACACATAGGACAGCGGCCTGCAGGCGGCCATTCCTGTACACACACACCCAGCAGGTGTCTGGGGATCAACTGTGCCACAGCTCCTGGTCCAGGGAGGGTGACCAGAGAATGAAGTGCAGAGGGCAGTCTCTTGGGGGGCCACGCCTGGTTGGGGGGGCCCCGCCTGGCTGTGCCGCCTCCCTCTGGCTGCGACGGGCAGCTGTCTGCCCAAGGTCCCAGCCGTGCGACACCACAGCAATGCTGAGTCATGAACTTCCACGCTCTGCTGCCTGTGGGCTCCAGGGGCAGGGCACATGAAGGCGGTCGCCTCCACACAGGGGTGCCACCAGCCAGCGCCTGTCCGTTCCCACACTTCCCAGCTTCATGCCCTGCACTACTTTCTGTGCCCTGGACTCAGTGCCTGGGGGAGCTGCGTTTCCCACATTCACTCACTGATGTCTTCACAGTTTGTCGTGGTGGCACCTTCCCACGTTTGGATGCAGCCAAACACCTGTGGCCTTCTAGAAGGGAAGCCAGGCGGGGGGCCGGGCGGAGGGCTGGGGGGCCGGGCGGGGAGCCTGCACAGGTCCCCAGTTTTTTTTTTTTAAAGATTTATTTTTATTATTTTTTTTTATTGGAAAGGCGGATATACAGAGAGGAGAGACAGAGAGGAAGATCTTCCGTCCGATGATTCACTCCCCAAGTGAGCGCAACGGGCCGATACTATGCCGACCCGAAGCCAGGAGCCTCTTCCGGGTCTCCCACGCGGGTGCAGGGTCCCAAAGCCTCTGCTGCTTTCCCAGGCCACAGGCAGGGAGCTGGAAGGGAAGCGGGGCTGCCGGGATTAGAACCGGCGCCCATATGGGATCCCGGGCATGCAAGGCGAGGACCTTTAACCACTTGCGCCACCGCGCCGGGCCTGTGGTCCCCAGTTTTAACACAAGGACTTGGTCAGGCATGTCGCAAAAGAGGACATCACAATTATATGACACAGACACACACAGTTACACACCGTGTGTCGGTCGTCGGAGAAGTTCCGTATAAACTGTCATGTCACGATAATTGGCCAGAGTTGTGGAGGTTCCATGTGCTGGCACAGAGTGTGGCTTGTGGTACAAACTCCTGCAGGCCGGAATCCCCTGGCAGCGCTGGGACCCATGAGAGTGCAGGAGGCTGCACTGCAGCCCGCTGGGCCCAGCAGACCCTCCGGGAGGGACAGCACCCTCGGCTCTGGCCCCAGGCCCGTACATGACCACATTAGCTACTGCGGCCCGCGGACGCTGTGGAGCCAGGGTGCGGCGCCCCCGCAGCTCATCTGTGCTCTGCAGGTTCTCACAACTTCATGTGGTTAAGTCCCATGATGGTCTAAACATGCTTCTGCTTTCCACCAGGCTTCATTCCCTGGCGCTGCGTGGGCGCAACCACGAAGCTGGCTCAGCTCCGCGGCCCGGCCAGGAATCCGGCACACGGGTCGGGCCCCCGCAGGGTCATACCAGGGCCACCCGAAGGACGGGGGTCAGCAGCCAATGGGGGCGCTCCTGAGGCTGCAGCTCCCCACAGACAGCTCTGTCACACTCCCGAAGCGGTGCACAGCACGGGGGTATCGCACGGAAGGATCCAGCCTGAGTTCATGTCTGATCTACAACAGCCAGAGGCTCCTAAGCTTGGTCAGGGCCACCGTCTACTTCCTTCTGCCTCCCTCAGACTTTTGGGGCTCCCCCTTCTCCAACCTGAGAGCCTTGCGTCCCCTGAGCTCGTGCGAGCCAGGCAGGCCTGGTGCTGGACTCTGGGCCCTGACTCTAGGTCCTGACCATGAACTCCAGGGACAGGCCTGGTCCTTCTCCCAGGTCCCTGACCGCGGCTCCTCCTGCCCCCGGAGTATGCTGTCTGCCCCCAGCCTCAGCTGCCCAGGGACAGGTCCACGGGCTCCGTCCAGGGGCAACTAACCCGGAGTCCCCAGGTGGGAAGCCCAGAGCAAGCAGCTCAGCTGCCAACTCCCCGTGCCCCTCCCTCTCCTCTTTTCCCCAAGCTTGGGCTGGGAGGTGGGGGGGTCTCACCTGGGGCCAAGGCCACAGCCCGACCACCCTCCACACCCTCTTTTCTGGACACAGAGATCTTTGACTTTATAAACGCCCCACAGTCCTTCATCCTTTCCGTGCCAAACGTGGAATGCAACGTGATCTTCCCCTGCAGCGTGTTCAGCCAGCGCCCGCCTGCCCCGCCTGCCCCGCCTGCCCCGCCTGCCCCGCCTGGCTGGGTCAGGATGCTACACTTAGCTCGTTCCGTCCCTGCAGGAAAGCTGGGAGAGCTGCGAGCCTGCCGTGAACCTCAAATCTGCCAGAGCATGACTGCAGCTCTGCCCAGAGAAGTGGGGTGACCTCCAGCCCCCAGCGGGCTGCATGCCCTGACCGTGCCCCACCTTCCCCTGGTAGCAGAGTGTTTGCCAGGCTTGCTAACGTTTTGCACAAGGGTCCTGCCTGTTGCTGAGGCTTTGGGACACCGCTCAGCAAATGGCTGGTGTTTGCACACTCAGGAGGTGTAGCTGGAACCCACCCTAGCCATCCACAACCCGCTGGAGGCCGCCCACACCCAGTCCTGGCGCTCTGAGCCAGACCTGCTTCTCACGGGTTATTTTCTCACCAGGCCTCCCCAGAACCCGCCTCCCGCCTGCAGGACCCAGTGCTCCACCTCTGACCCCTGGTGAGCTGGGGGTGGAGTCCCAGCATGGGGGCCTCCAGTACCATCTCACCCATCCCCCACGCTGGCAGGAGTCAGACCCACAGGGGCCATGGGAGGGGGCTGGGCAGGTGCACAGGGGGATTCCCACAGGAGCCAGACACAGCACCCCAGGTCTGGGGATCCCACGGGCTGGAGCAGAGCCAGGCAGGCCTCAGGCCCCAGGGCAAAGGGTAGGAAGGAGGGACGGGCACCAGAGGCACTGGTGGGCAGCACCCATTCAGACCATCCCTGGCAGGTACATGACAGGGGTGACCTAACTCCAGGCACCATAACCAAGATCAGCCTCAGCTGAGATTGTACTTGGGCAGGAAGTGAACAGGAGGCGAGGGGCGACATTCACCCCCAGGGCACTCCACCCACCAGGCAGGCAGCCGGAACTGAGGCTGCTCCTCCGGAGGCCCCACGGAGCGGCAGCCCGAGGGAGATGGATACACCGGACCAGCCCGCCGCCCTGAGCCTCACAGCCTGAACCCCGGGAGCTGACTGGGGCTGAGACGTCTGCAGGGGACCCCAGGTGGGTGCACGGTGAGCCCCACAGGCAGACGCCCTGCCAAGGCCCCACAGCCAAGGTGCCCACCTGCGACCCCCTCCGAGCAGGTGGACGGATACAGCCGGACACAGCTCCAGCCGCAGAGCAGCGGCCACGCGGGCCCGCCCTGCTGGGGACTTGCACCTTCACTTCCTGGAAACTGAGGCCCGTGGGGGATGAGCAGATGAGCCTGCTGGGAGGGGGCGCACACAGCCTGGTGGGCTGTCTCTCCCTGCCCCGGGCGGCCGGCAGAGGGTCTCTGCTGAGGAGGCCCCTGGGCTCGTCCTGGTGCCCCCGTGAGCCCTGGGGGAGGGCAGGAGAGCTTGGACCAGCTCTGGGCCAGGTTCCTCAGAGGGTTCAGTCAGGTTCTGTTGGAGGACCAGGTGACCCTGCTGGGCCTGGGCTGGGCTGGGGTGAGCAGCCCGGGGAGGCCCCCAAGGGCCCCTGCACCCCGCGCTGTGGCATCAGCTCGGAGGGCAGGCCCTGACTCCCTTCAGGCCCGGGGTTGGCCCGGCCGCTGCCACCCTGCCTGCCAGGGGGCGCCTGACCTCCCTGCTCTGCCGCCTCAGCTTCCCAGACTGCAGCCCGGGCCTGGAGGTTTCTGGAGGTTTCTGGAAAGTCAAGCTATGGAAGTCCTGCAGGTTCTCCTTGGACGGAACCCGGACCCTGAACCCAAAGGGAACAATTCTTCCCCCTTCCCATCCCCCTCCTCGCCCTCTCCCCGCCCCCTCCCCGCCCCCTCCTCTTCCCTCTCAATCCCCACCCTGTCCCCATCCTCATCCTCTCCCCTCCCCTCCCTCTCTCCCCCTCCTCCATCCCCCTTCCTGGCTCCTTGCCCCTCACCTCTCACCTCCTCTCCCTCCCCCATCCACTCCCCTCCCCTCCCGAGGCCCCAGGCCCAGCTTGCTCTCCCTCCTGTCCCCAGGCAGCAGCAAGGCCATGTGCCCCCCGCTCAGCATGCGCCACGCCGGCGAAGGCGTCTCCCGCCTCTACGTGTCCTGGCTGTACCAGCTCCAGCACGGGCAGATGCGCAGCTGCTTCGCCTGCTTCAAGACGGCCTTCCTGGAGCTCAAGGACTCGCTGGAGGTGGAGGAGTGGGACGACACCGACTCCTGGGACCCGGAGCCCGAACCCGAGGAAGCCGAGGGGCCGGGGCAGCCAGTGCTGGGGGGCCCTGAGGCCTGGGGGGCCCCGGCTGCCACTGCGGCGGGCTCCGAGGAGCTGGGCACCAGCCTCCACTTTGTGCCCACCGAGCTGGATCCGCAGGACGTCGTGGCCCTGTGCCGGGGGCCCGAGGATTCGGACTGGACCCAGGAGCTTCCCTGGAGATTTGGGGACGTGCCTTCCTGCACCCACTGGCCCATCTCCACTGCCCCGTGGCAGGAGCAGCTCCGCTGCGTCAGGGAGATGCCCCCCGAGGAGCCCGGGACCCCTGCCCCGGCCCAGGACTAGCTGCTGGACCTGTGGTGTCGGCCTGGTGGCCGGCTCGTCCTGGGGGCCACCACGAGACTGTCTAGGTCCGGGTGGTGACAAAGTACTGTTTCTGGGGACCCTCTCCATTGTCTCATTCCCCCTGGACTCCCTGAGGGCGGAGCCCCACCCCAGAATGGGACCTCGTCCCTCTGCAGCCCGGAGCCCGTGCCTGGGCCCTGGTGAGGGTCTCCCCTGCGGATTGCTCAACCCTGGGGGAGTCCCTGATGCAGGCCTTTCAGCCCCTGGCCTGGAAATGCGTGCGGGGTCCCGTGCCCCCTCTGCCCACAGCCTTACTTCTGGCAGCCTCTGCCCGGGCTGGGGCGTGCCACCAGTGTCCTCCACACACGCAGGAAGCGGGGCCCAGGCCGGCTGCTCTGCCTCCTGTGCGGGCCTCAGGGGAAGGCGTGGCAGGTTTCTAACTTTGTAGGCGCTCAGCGGCCCACCGGCCACCGCACGTGCTGGCTGGCTGACTGCAGTGCTGGCCCTTTCCGGAGAGCCCCCCACGGCCTGCTTCCTGGGACACCCCAAGGGCTCTGCGGCAGCCCCGGGGTGTCTGGTGTACCACGGGAGGGGACTCGGTTTCAAAGGTTGCCACTTGCCCAGTTTGGCCCCTTAATTCCCGTTGTTCTGTTCATCTCTTGTTTCGACTTTGAGGAAGAAGTAAGAGCGTTGCAGCCAGCTTGGTGAGCAGCGACTCAGCTCCTCTGCGGCCCTCGTTTTAGTTTTAATGTTTATTGTTCTTTTTCATTTCCTTAAAAGCAGAGTAAGAGAAAGAATGGTCCCACCGTCCCCTGCCCAGGGCTGACAGCGCTCTGGCACGCGGGCCGAGCGTCACAGGTGTCACTGGCACGTGGCGTGTAAAGAAACGCGGGAAGCAAGTCCCAGGTCATCAGGTGGCGTCAGCGGAGTGTCCACAGCCACTCCCATGCGTTTCACAATGGAGTCTCGGGCGAGTGACTGGCACTGTGGTGCTGGTGCCCTGGGGTGCCAGGTCTCAGAACAGAGGGCCTGGGTCTCTGCTCTCCGGATCCCAGCTCCTGGCTGCGTGGTTGGCACCCTGCCTCCACGCAGGAGCCCCGCCTGCCACCTGGCCCAAGCCCGCCTTGAAGTGTCCGGAGTGAGCAGGTGGAGGGGAGATTCCTTCTGTCTGTGTCCCTCCTACCCTGTCCCCTGAGACCAAATCGTTCTGGGTCCTTTGGTACTTGTCATGCACATTGACAAGAGGTCGGCGTGCAACGTGGAAGAGGTGTGTGCCTTGGAGGCTTCCGAACGGCGCCCCGCTGAGGGGTCGGTGGGGTGGGGGGAGGCAGCAGGCCGCCCCAGCACAGGGTGCCGCAGCCCGTGTCCCCCATCCTGCCCAGAACAGGGCCACAAGTCATGGCTCCTCCATTCGTGGACCCTGCTCAGCGGGGACGGGCTGGGCAGCCTGGCTCACCTGCTGGGCGAGGAGAGCCCGGCACGGAGTGGGTGATATGTGGGTAAACCCAAGGCATTTCAGAGTGTTTGTGGGGTCATCTGCGTTGGTGGAAGAAGCGGAAATCCACGCACAGTTCTTTCATAGCAAGCATCTTCCGTGAACTCTGAAGAGATCCCCCTTTCAGAGTGGCGACTCCACAGGACGGTAGTGAGTGGTCCAACCCCGGCTGGGGCCTGGGGCGAGAGGTGACTGCCAGGAGCCGTGTACTGTAGCCACACTGAAGCCATTTTGAATATAGAACTGTGGGCCAGTGGAAAATCCCTGGCCGGCTAGATGCTTGGGAAAGAAGTTATGAAACTAATCACAGCTTAGCTTCAATTGTTTGTAGCAACTGTTTCAGAATGTGATTTATGCTGTACCTGCCGACATCTTGTTACTGATTACCTATGCTATTGTCGATATGCTGGTTACTATGGTTGAGATGGTGGCTGCTCAAGAACAATGGGTCTGGAGACCATGACCTCCAAGGCACTTCCATGTCCCAGTTTCTCCTTCCCTCTCTGAGCCTTAGTTACTGAAGAATAGAAAAACTCTCAGTTGAAATCAATAAACTGACAGCTTGATCAGACATCCTGTCTTGCTGTCCATCCTTCGTGTCTCTTGTCCCCCATTCTCTCCTAGGTTGGTTGCAACCCATGTTGACTGTCCTGCTGAATGGGACAGGTGACGGCTGAGCAGGTGGGGCCGCCTCCTGGGAGGGGCACACTCTGAAAGCTGAGCGGGGCTCTCCTTCCCACAAGGACCCTGCCAGCTTCTACAGTGCCCCCAGCCCGTGTGGCTGGCTCCCCCCTTGGCCTGTGATACCTGCTGCCAGCTCCCACAGCTCCCACTCCTCCCGGAGCCGCTGGCCTGGAAGCTCCGTGCTCGCTGTGGCCAGGGCCTAGGCACTGCCCCGAGGACAGCTGCTCCTGCCAGTTGTCCAGACGGCATCCAGAGCGCTTGGTGTGGTCAGAAACCCATACTCAAAAGTCCTGCGTCTTACCAGGCCCCCGAAGGCAGTCCTGGGGTGTGCTTGGTGGGGGCCAGGCACTGGGGGACAGACAGAGCACAGGATGGCCCGAGGCAGAGGTGGACCACACGAGGAATCTGACACCCTGCCATGTGGGCCCTTTCCAGAAATATCCACTGGTGCCTGTGGTGTGCCAGGTGGGGACCGGACGTGGGCACTGCGAGCCCCTGCAGGTCACAGATATCTCCCCGCCCCAGAGGCACCCACTGGTCCTTGCAGGTCCCTGGCCAGCCGGGAGCAGTCACCTGGGAAGCAGCAGTCAGGCCTGGCTGCTCGCCCAGTGTTCCAGGCTGGTAGGAGCTGAGCAGAGCCCGAGGCCGCATGGTGAGGTCTGGTGGCCTCCGGAGCTCAGCTCACAGGGAGGGTCTGGAGCCTGAGGGGTGCCTGCGCCCACTCCCCACGAGGGCTCTCCCAGCTCCCCTCCAGCCTCCCACCCCTGGCACCATTTCCCCAGGATCACAGACTGCTGTGCTGGGAGTTCCCTGCACCTCTCAGAGGGAGACCCCCGCACCTCTCAGAGGGAGACCCCCGCACCTCTCAGAGGGAGACCCCCAGGTCTGTTCTGTCTTGTCCTTCCTGCCCCCCCCCCCCAGGTCTGCAAGCCCAAGCACCCGCAGCTGCTCCGAGTCCAAGCTTATGGCCAGCGCCAGGGCTTGGGGCTCATGTGGTGGGGGCAGCCAGAGTCCCCTCGACAGTAACAGGTACATCCCTGGGACCTCCTTACAGCTGCAGCTGGCTGCTGGTTGGGTGTTTGGGGGTCTAGACAGTGAGCTATAGGCAGGCTCAGACGCCCAACCAAGCTCCAGGGCAAGGGGCTGGCAGGGGCAGGGCAGGGCTAGCATCCCATACAGGCACGGGTTCCAGTCCCAGCTGCCCTATTTCCCATCCTGCTCCTGTTTACGGCCTGGGAAACAGTGAGGACGGCCCCGCACCCACGTGGGAGCCTTGGTGAGTTCCAGGCTCCTCGTTGCAGCCTGGCTGGGCCCTGGCCGCTGCCCCGCTGCCTCTCCCTCGTTCTCCGTGTAACTCTGCCTTTCCAATAAATAAAACATTTATCACAAAAACAAGCGAAGCAGAGCCTATCTCCGTGGGTGTGTCCTTCACGGACTGTGCAGGCTCTCCCACTGACTCAATCTGCCGTGTTGATCCTGGGCGGCCTCCCAGGCCGCTCCTGCTGTCTCAGAGGGTCATGGCAGGCCCTTGCCCCTTCAGGACTCACAATGAAAACCAAAGGGATCTGTTTACTTGAAAGGCAGAATTACACACGGGAAGGACGGACAGAGAGGAGAGACACAGAGAGCGTCCAGCTGCTCCACTGCCCAGAGGCTGCAGCAGCCAGGGCTGGGCCAGCCAGAAGCCAGGAACGCCAATGGGTCTCCCTGTGGACGCTACTGTGGCCGCCCCATTGTGCATTCCCGGGCGCCGATGAGCAGGATGCTGGAGACACACGAGTCAGGCGCCAGGCCGTGAACCTGGGCACCCAGAAAGGGGGACAGGGATGCAGGCCTCCCACGCCGTGTCTCTGCAGGTTTGCCCTCAGCTGGGCAGTTCGCCGTTCATGGATGGGGCTGGGAGGACAGCGAGGTGGCCTGCTCACTTTCCAATTGAAAGCTTGGACTGGCTTCCACTCAGCTGTGCCTGCCTCCTCACGCCCCTGGAAACCTGCTGGGAAGATGGACTCGGGAGGGCCGCAGACCGGGCAGAATCCTCCCGCAGGCGCAGCTGACCCTTTGGGCCACAGGAGCTGAAGGTCAGTCGGCCACCGCCTTCCTCCCCAGGCCTCTGGGGCTCCAGGCACAGTTCTGACCCCTCAGCCCTCTGGGGTTCCGAAGGTGCCCTCTCCACCCGGAGCACCCGACGTGGCAAGGCCATCACGAGTGGCGCCGGGGCTCAGGAGCGCTTGGGGCCGGGGGCCAGCTGCAGCGCCGTCCCCCCGGCGCCCGCCCCGGCGCCGCCCCCGCGCTCACCGCGTAAATGCCCGGCCTGGCGCGGGGCCGCAGCGCATTCCCAGCTGGCGGCCGGGCAGGTGGCACGGGACCGGCGGGCGCCCCTTGCGTTGAGCCCCGGGAGCCGCGCCCCGTCTGCAGGCGCAGCGCTACCGGGGCGATGGCTCCGTGACCGAGGGGCGCAGCAGGTGGGTCTCGGGCCGGGGTCTCCGTTGGGTCTTGGCGGACTCGCACCCACCGCGGAGCCCTCTGGCGTTCCAGCGGGAATTAGGGTGAGGGGAGGGCGTGGGAGGACCCTCGGACTTGGAGGGGACCTGGAAGGGCGGACTCAGGGAACCCCCGGGGCAGGGTAGGGTCTGGCGGAGCTGGGGTTGTGTCCCAGGCGCTGGGGCAGCTGCGCCCCTCCCAGAGCTTCGGCCAAGGTTGGGAGGGGGAAAGAGCCATGGGGTCGCTGGTCCCAAGAGCTGTGGGGCGGGTGGGGCCAGGCCCCCTGACCCTTTGGCTGTGCTTGTTCCTGGGCATGGGACGCTGTGTCGGGAGAACTCGG